AGGCTTCCCTGGCTGCACCACTATGGCCTCCTTCAAAGGCTTCTCCTATTCCTGTCCTTGTCCCTTGAATGCTGCTGCTACTCAGCTCTGCTCTTTTTCTCCCAGTGTTGCTTCTGCTTGGCTCACTCACATCCATGCCCTCCGTGACCCACCTGCTGCAACCAGCACCAGTGCTCTGTGTCCCAAACAGGCCTCCATGACCCACCTGCTGCAACCAGCACCAGGCCTCTGTCTCCCAAACAGGGTTTCTTAACCTGCTGCTACCAGCACCAGTGCTCTGTGTCCCAAACAGGCCTCTGTGACCTGCTGCTACCAGCACCAGTGCTCTGTGTCCCAAACAGGCCTCTGTGACCTGCTGCTACCAGCACCAGTGCTCTGTGTCCCAAACGGGCCTCTGTGACCTGCTGTAACCAGCACCAGTGCTCTGTGTCCCAAACGGGCCTCATTGGGCTTTCAGCCCCACTTATCCAGCTGCCTGCTAGAAGTCACTGCTTGGTTCTCTTGTGCATATTTCAAACACAAACTCACCTCCAAACACCACCTACAACCTTCTCCTTTTGGGCTTCCTGTTATATTCCATGTATGCTATTGCCCAAGAGCCTCATCGTTGACTCTCCCTCAAAGACCACAATCCATCCATCAAGTCAGGCCCGCTCCATCAAAACCTCGTAAATAGCTCTCCAGTCTGTCCACTATCCCTGCCTAACCCAGGCTTCCATCACCTCTCATGGGATCACTATGTAATCACCCCTAATGTTTTTAGTCTCTTCTTTCTCCATTTTATAAGGCACAGTGATTTTTTATAAAATGCAAACACTCTCCTCTACATGAGACTTTTTAGATACATACTGCTGCCCCCAAATAAAGTTTAAACTTCTTACAATTCTGCTGCTACCCTCTACCCTTGCCTACTCTCCCACGGTTGTCCCCACCACTCTTTGACCCCCACGCATACTGTGCTGTCCATTCCAGACACTGGCACATGACAAGCTCCACGCCTGGAACCTATTTCCAGCCTCGGACCACCTTCCTATAACTCCTCACACCTGCTTCCCTGTAATTCTGATTCTCTTTCTCTGCTGCTGCCATCCAGGCTAAGTGCCTTTTCTGAGGTCCCTTGGTCAAAACCAGCAAACATTTGAAAACCTACTAAATGGACTACCCACTTCCAGCATCAAGTTATATAGGGGCTCTCTAAAGTTAAAAATAAATAAATAAGAAAGAAAAATCCAAGGGTATCCAGCAAACAGGATGTATGTGTAGACCCATATACACGTGTGTACTGGGAAAGGAAATCGGGCACATACAGAAGTACTTTTTCAACTTAAATATTGTTGCTGTTCATTCCACCTCTGTGCTCATTTTTTTCCTACAAAAAATGAAATCAAAAACATGGAATCAAAAACATCAAATCCCACAGTGTCCCCTCATCCATCTTTACACACAGCAAAAAAGTACATGGAACTAGATAAGCCAGGAAAATAAGGAAATTGAATGGAAAATGCAAATGGAATTATTGATGCCAGGGTGATGTAATAGAAAAAAACACAGAGCTGGAAGTCCACAGACCTAGGTTCTATTTCTAAGGATTACATAAATCTTTGTTGTAATCTTAGGTGAGTTGCTTAATGTCCCAGGATCCCAGCTGTATCATCTTCCACCAAAAGAGTTAGATCTTAAGGTCCTTCAGGTCATCTTTGCGAAGTGGGTCCCGGTGGAGAGTTTCTGCAATTCTGATGTGAAAAGCAGTGGCGAGCAGAAATGTGTCAGGAATGAATCTTATACCAACTTAACTATTTTCAAGTAAAAATGGAAAGATTTAATCATTTCTGTCGTATCTTAACCTGTGAACAGAATTTACAAATTAAACAAAAGTTAAAATTTCATCTTGGACTTAAGTGCCCATCGACCCATGAATGAATTAATAAACTGTAGTATATGTAAACCATGGCATACTATTCAGCCATAAAACGATGGAGACTTCAGAAATCTTTTGTGTTTACTAGATCATCGGTTCTCAATCTGTGGGTTGCGACCCCTTTGTAGCAATGAAAATACATCCTGCATATCAGACATTTACATTACGATTCATAACAGTAGCAAAATTACAGTTATGGAGTAGAAACAAAAATACTTTTATGGTTGGGGGTCACCACAACATGAGGAACTGTCTTAAAGGGTCACAGCATTAGGAGGCATTAGGCAGGTTGAGAACCACTGACCTAGATGGAATTGAAGAACATTATCCCCAGGAAAGTATCTCAGGAATGGAAAAGCAAGCATGCCATCTGCTCAATACTAATTTGAAACTAGTAAATGAACAACTACATGAGAGAAAAACACCATCAAATTCAAGAAGGGAGGCAGGGAGAGGAGAGGAAGTGCCGTAAGCTCCCACCTAATGGGTACAAGGTAGGGGTATAGGGCACACTTCCTGGGCAAAGGGCTCAGCTACAACTCTGACTTCACCTAACAAACACAGACAATGTAACCTAATCTTATGTACCCTTACAATAATCTGGGGGAAAAAATTCATCTTGATACAAATGAACTAAAAGGGTAAAAATCTTTGTGCATATTTATGTTATAAACCTCGGTTTTAATATTTGTGTATACTTTTTAGCTCTTGAAATTTGTTCCTGAGAAATGTGACATTGACCTGTTAGAAGAACATAAACATGAATTGGATCGTATGGCCAAGGCTGATAGATTCCTTTTTGAGATGAGCAGGTGGGTTTAAAGATGCTTCAAATGGTCAAGATGCCCTTTACCTTTCTAAGTTTCCTATAAAATTGTTTTGGGCCAATTAACCTGGCTTAATTTGAAGCCTGTTTAGATTCTGTGATCTTCTCAAGTCTGAGCTGTGTGGAATTTAATTGTTTCATTAAGTGAGTTCCTGCCCGTGGCTCAGCCGGGGTCAGGGTGTCTTTACAGTCGTCTCCATTTCTGGGCCTCTTGGGCTCATGGGCTTTGGTCTAATTAAGCCAGACCTTTTCTGATCAATGTCATTTTCCTCGCCATTTTTGTTTCCTGGGATAGTATCTTGCACTTGCTAACAGCTCAGCATCTCAAAGCTGTTGTAAAAGGGAAGGAGGGGAAAGGACGGACTCTGGCAGCAGCGTCTGCACAAGCCCACACAACAGCAGAGCTGATGTGTAGATGGCAGGGTGGCAGGTGCGGACATTGCTAATGGTCAAGGCTCTCTTCCACTGGGCAGGCTCCCTGGGAAGATCATTGCAACTAATTAATGATATCTGCACCCTCCTCCAGAAAGCCTGGGACAGCCAGGGACACCTGACTGGGTTTGAGCTGAGCCTGTGAAATTGACTCGCAGTAGAGAACTCTGAGCCAGGCTCAGGCCTGGACTCTTCCCCTCAGGGTAGCAGAGAGGTGCTAACTGAAGAAAGAGGCAGGCTTAGAGACAGGAGGGAGGAGAGGATGCTGGAGACAAGCCTTTCCTTCAGTGAAAAGTGGGAAGTGAAGAAACTTGGGGAAAGTGTGGGAAACGGTCCTTGATTTGCAGTGGGATGGGGAGTCTTTACATGTTCACTCCTTTCATCTCTTCTGTGTTTATAAGAGCTTCAGGGACTGGGGGGGAGGGGGGCAGGGAGCCTCTAGTCTGCAGCAGCCCCGCCTTCTTTTAGCCATTGCCTCATTTTCTGCATGTTGAGGCTCCTGTGCAGCTGTGCACAGACGGGCGCCGCGTCCCTGAGAGCTGGGGTGCGCCTGTGTCTGGGGGCGGCTCTCGACGGTTTTTCTCCCGACCACCCCTGTGACTGTTGAGTGAACATGGACATACTAAGTGAAGGTTAATTAGTCTGCTATTGCTCTTACAGAATTAATCATTATCAGCAAAGACTGCAGTCACTATACTTCAAAAAGAAGTTCGCAGAGCGCGTGGCGGAAGTGAAGCCTAAAGTGGAAGGTAAAGTTGAGCCAGGGGGATGGAAGTGGTTTCTGATGCGAGTGCCCTTTACAAATGCAACCCAAGTGCATTTAGGAAACAGGATGCCTTCAGAGATCTGCTCAAAATCTTTTGACATTCTGATGGATAAGTACTTAAGATCAGCATTTGGGAAGTGTTGATCTGGCCTGGCCTGGGCTCTGGGCTCACAGGGTACCCCTGCAGGACTGAACTTTTAACACATGGGTGTTGGTAAGAAATTTGTCCACTATTAGCATCAAACCTATAATTAGCTTTCTTACAACAGAGCCTTTAGTAGAGTTTTCCAAGGGGAGAGTTGAGGCTGTTAGGTTTTTAAGTGTTTGAAATAAGATCGCAGCCACAGAATGCAGGCTGAAATCAGGAATCAGGAGCATGCTCACAGGCTAGTCCCTGGTGTGCCACCTGCAAGCTCTAACCTGCAACAAATCTGACCAGTTTGCCATCAATGGAATTGATCAGTAATCCTGTAGATCTGACTCACACTAGGCAAGTGTTTCCAAAGAAACGCTGGCAATGAACTTGCTATTTGTGTACTCCTCGGTGTTTGAGGTTGAGGAATCGGCCAAGGAAAGGCCTGAGAAAGGGCAAGACTGTGGGTATCAGTAACAGCTTCATCTGGTTCCCCATCCTCTTGTTCTTTGTTTCCAGTTGGGGAATTTTGAAAGAGCCCCCTGCTAATCCAATAACTAACTCTTCCATCTTCAATATCTGTTGTTAGGATAGGAAGCAGGAGAGGTCACAGTTGTAATACTTATGTTTTTATGTTTTTTGTTTTGAAGCAATTCGTTCTGGCTCAGAAGAGGTATTTAAAAGCGGTGCCCTCAAGCAGTTGCTAGAGGTGGTTTTGGCATTTGGAAATTATATGAATAAAGGCCAAAGAGGGAATGCATATGGATTCAAGATCTCCAGCCTCAATAAGATAGCTGACACGAAATCCAGCATTGACAAGTAAGTGGGGGTCGCCCTCTGGCTTCAGTGACGCGCAGTCACCAGTCTGAACGTCTCTCTCTCCTCTCTCTTGCCTCCTCTGAACTCTCACAGAACAAGTGTCCCCCAGCTGCCTTTGGACCAGTTGCTCTTCATCGATTTTTGGCCCCCAGGGACCTCATCTATTCCAAGAGTTTTTTCAGTCCCACCTTTTAAAAGAAAAAAAAATTTAGTAAACCTCTGATTAATATTATAGTATAATGTACTGGAGAAAGGTCAGTAATGATAAATGCAGGGCTTGATGAATTTCCACAAGTTGAACCCACCAGCACCCAGATCAAGAAGCAGAGTGTCCCCGACACTCTGGGCATCCTGTCCGTTCTCCTCCCAGCCACCTTCCACAGAAGACTGTTTATCAGAGAAAAGAAGAGAACTGATCATTACTGCCAGAATGTGACACTTCCTGGGTTTTTAGGTTGTTTTCCTTCATACGTTAGAGCTAGCAGCTATATACAGCAGAAAAGAACTAAGACGTATCAGTGCATTTGGCTGTTAGTATTCAGCTGCCCTTCCCAAGTCTCATTAAAATGCTTCCTAGAAAGTGTACAACTGCATTTTAGGTGAAGAGCTTCTCATTGGAGACAACAAGATGTGAAAACACCCTTGTGTCGCTAATAGGTGGGGTCATCAGGCATTTCACCTCTAGTGTCGCTGAGGTCCTTGTTTCTCTGAGGTTCTCACTGACTTCCAAGGGGCTTGCACTAGTGCAGCCTCTAAGGTCGGCTTCTTGGTCCTCAGATTCTTTTTAGAAATAGGGGCCATTCACCCTAATCATTCCTAAATAATGAGGCTCTTTACCCTATATTTTCTATAAGGTTCATGCAGCATAGTGTTCTGACAACCCTGAATCCATTCTAGAAGAAGTAATGATAGTGTGTTAATCTGTTATTTTTTGTGTGTAGTTACAGATTAGTGGAGAGCAGCTGTTACGCTGTGACTCTGCCTCCTCATGTGAAATGCCAGCACTCGCTCCTTCTCAGAACACTTTCACGTTTGATGGTCACAACAGCCTGTGAAGTACATGAGGCAAATGCTGTTATTACCCGTTGCCAGATAAACTGAGGCACAGTCAGGTGGTTCATTTAGCTTGCCCAGAGTTCCAACAAGCAAGGTACTTGGCCTTGCAGGTATTCGATACCTGTTCTGTTGGTTGTATGCAGCTCTATTCTTATTTATAGGTCATAATAGGGAACTGGCAGATCTTATTGCCATATAAAAGGCACTTTTTAAAGAAAGGCATTCATCTGTACACACGCACACACACACACACACACGAAAGCCAATCACCAGTCCCCTGGTTCTCATTACGTGCCTATCTGCTTGTTTATTGAGGCTACTATAGAATTTATATAATGTACCAGCCTTTTCAAAGAAATGGATTAAAAGTATTTCTAATTTTTCCTTTTTCTCTTCTTTCTGCCTTTAATATTTGGTCCATAAATGTAGCACCCATATCTTCAAACCTGCAGTGTCCCCAGAGCACTTTGCCAGTGGCAGCCTCCCATCCGTGCTGCTCAGCTGAGTCCACCTCAGTGTAAGAAGCCAAAGGCACGGTCACACAGTGGTGACGGCTCCGTGGCTAGCAATGACCAGGGGACGATCAGATGTGTGACTGTGTAGTTGTTGTTCATTCTTTAGGAAGTTGTATTTAGTCAAATAAGGTGTTACATGGATAGCAAACAAATAGGGGAAGATCTGACCTGGTTCTGAACCTCTCTAGAGTAAGAAAGCATAAACAACTAAATTAACTGAAATGTCTCTAAATAACAAAGCATTTCTCTAAAATAATGAAAAGGAAATACCATTACTCTTTCTTGTGATGGTCTCCTGTCTTCTGAGGCGAGAGGGACATGGGCAGACGGGTAGGGCTCTGTGAACAGCAGAGACTGAAATGGAAGAACGCAGATGAACAGCTGAAAACAGCTCATTAGAATTCTTGGCCACTGTTTTGTTTTGATGGGCAAGTGTTTTCTAATTATTGAGAGCAAGAAAAATAAAGGAAATTTTTTAAAAACGTGAGTCAGGTAACTTGGGTAGACTTGCACTGTCTCTGTGAAATCACAAAGGTAACCAGAAATGGTTTTCGCTGTTGTGGAAAAGAAAAGTGTTTGACAATTCTGATTCATTTTGTTTAGATGTGGGTGGGAGTATTGTGAGTTAGCATTTTCAATTAGCAAACTACCTAAATCAGTGGTTCTCAACCTTCCTAATGCCGCAGCCCTTTAATACAGTTCCTGTGGGTCGTGACTCACAGGTTGAGAACTGCTGGCCTAAATCCTGAAAATGTTTTTAAAGAAATGCATGTGTATCTTCCTGAGTATGATAATATATTAGAGCTGGGGCCCTCAAAGTTTTTAAACAGGGAGCCAGTTCACTGTCCCTCAGACCCTTGGAGGGCCGGACTGAGGGCCCCGGGACGAGTCGGCTGCTAAACAGGACAGGCAGCGGCGGGCCGGATAAATGTCCTCATGTGGCCCGCGGGCCGTAGTTTGAGGATGCCTGTATTAGAGTCACCAGGGAGTTTTAAAATATACCCACACCTGGCTCCACCTCATTCCAGTTAAATGAAACCCTGAGCTTGGCCCAGGCATCTGGAGCCCAGGTGACCATAATGTGCAGTGGGGTAGGTGCCACAAGGGCCAGACCAGCACAGCTTCACCTCACAGATGCTATCATCAGATGCTGCCTTTCCATCCAGGCCAGGCAGAGCTCAGCACTGTCACTACTGCAGAGGGGGCTGGCTCAGCCAACTGCTATACCTTCTAAGGGTTATGCAGTTAGAAGCCAGAATGCTGCTGAATTGGGAAGTGGATTCCCAGCTGCAGAAGGTACCATATGGCGGCTGTGACAGCCCACGGCCAGGCTCCGCCCTGAAACAAGGCTTCCTAACCTTCTGACCACACGTCAGATAAGCCTGATAAAAATTACCAGTAACTGTCATCAGTAAGTTTGCTAGTCTGTATCGTTAGCGTTCAAAGCAGCTGTCCTCTTCATGGATTAACTGTTCCTCAATCCTCGCCCCACCCAGTCCTCCTGGCTCCACACCTATGGGGTGGATTCCCCGTGAAGGTAAACCAGAGCTTGTCCCCTTTGGCAGTGGTTCAGATTCACTTCACTCACCCAGCATGTCACCCAGATTTGAAGGATGAGTGCCCATCGTGGACCAAAAATGTGAATTTTATCCCCATTTTAGAAAGTATATTCCTCCTTTTGACATATGTTTGTGTAAACCTGTTACCCCCCTTCTCGTGAGAATCCCCCCCTTATGAGAACTTCCCAGTCTTAAAGTTGCTGCAGGACTGTAGCATCCTGTGGCTCTGCCCCTAGAGCACAGACAGCGTGTGCGGATATTAACCGTATTTAATATTTCATCCCCTTCCCTTCTCTGACCGTAGGAACATTACCCTTCTGCACTATCTCATAACTATTGTGGAAAATAAATACCCCAATGTCCTCAATCTAAATGAAGAGTTGCGGGATATTCCTCAAGCCGCAAAGGTCAAGTAAGTATTTATGACTGTTTTAGTTTTTCAAATCACATGGACGGTGCCCTCAGCCACTGAGATAGGAGTTAGCACTGCGTGAAGCAGGCCCTTCTGTCTGCTTTCCCCTGAACGTCAGATGAAGTGAAGTTTGAATCACATCCAGAATCCATCCCTCAAATGTGTTACTAGGTTTTGAAAATACATTTGTTCAAACTCCTTTGTAATACTGCTGCATGCAATTTTCAGCTTTCATAAAACCTAATTTTCTGAGTTACCAAGAGTACAGGAAAGGAATGTGGGTTTCACTAGTACTTTTAAAAGGCAATTCTTTTAAATACAGGTCAGAGTACCCTTAGTTAAATAAAGATAGATGGTTAAGCAAATAGAAGACGTAGATGTCAGGGCGGTGCTGGCAATGTTCACATATGCACACACTCCCAGGAACCAAGGCAACCCTTTAATGGGAAGCAGTCTTTATGCAAATCAAGAAACTAAAAATAAAGTGGAAAGTCGCCAAACATTCACCACAAACTTCACACCACGTCTGGAGACAAGAGCAGGCAATTTTCCCTTCTTCTTCTGGCTCTCTCTCTTTTAAAACATAAACTGCAACTTTTTACAGTCAATTTGAAAAGTATAATGAGGAGGCTAATTTTTTCCTTCTGTCTGTGGAATTTGGTAGAAATATATATGTATATGGCATGAAATTAAAATGTTAAAATAAATGAAGTATTGGTGAGTTTCCTTATATGTTGTGAATTATCTGTGAGAATTAAGTTTCCATTTCTAATGTTTGAAAGCCATGAGATGGAAAGCATTGTGTATGGGCCAGGAATCTTTCTCTGTTTTAGAAAGGAAAATGAAAACTATTTAATACAAACTTAAGAAAAATTGTGATTAAAATTCAAGCCATGACTGTATACTGTTCTAAGCCTGATATTACCACGCCCCTGGTGGAAAGCAGGATACTCGTGACAAAGAGCACAGTGTGACCAGGATTGTGGATAAACCAGTTTCTTCTACTTTTTCAAAGGGAGCCAAGTATGGCAAGAAATTTGTTTCTACATAGAGTAATTTGCTGATGTAAGATTTCTGTGCGAGTGAAACAGAAAATATTTTTACCTAAATGGAGATGTTTATAGTTAACCTATACCTGCTGGCTGTGGAAAAGAAGGAACATAATTTCATACCTGAATTCCATAAGTTTAAAACGCTGTTGTCTTTCTGTGAGAGCTAAATGTGGAAGGAAGTGTTGAACATTTAGAATGAACTACTGTGGACGTCCACGCAGGAGATATTTAAACCCATGTGTTCAATACATGTCAGTCTCATGTTGATTACTAAAATGTTGCTATTTACAACAGCATGACTGAGCTGGACAAAGAAATAAATACCTTGAGAAGTGGCTTGAAAGCGGTAGAGACAGTGAGTATTTGTTTCCTGTTCTTCTGGTCTCTTCATCATCTCTAGTG